CTCATTAAACGCTCTTCCACGTTACGAGTGTAATGAACGATCGGAGCACGCGTCGTTTCCAGATTTTTTCTTTCTTTCTTTCTTCTTTATTTTTTCTTTTTTTTTTTTTTTTTCTTTTTGTTATTAATGCCGTCGATATTTTCAGTCTCAGGCAGACGCTAACAATCCGTATCCAAGCCCCTCTGTCTCGTTACGTCAATTAACAGGTCGCTGGATATCCGCGATGGATACTACCTCCTTTCGAAACGCGACGAGTGGCATTAATTTGAAGCGTCGAACAAAAATACGAACGGCTGTCTGCCTCGAACGACTTTAACCCCGGCTGTTTCCAGTCGCGCGATTCGCTACGAGCCCCGTCCCCCTTTCAATTTCGTGCTCGATCTTTCAAACCCTTCATCGGCTCGTTTCTCCGCGAATTTTCTAGATGTGATCTATTAGAACCGGCGAGAACCGTGACGTTTTATGCGATGAATTGGCATTGGCGGAAGTAGATAGAAATACGACCGTCTTCACTAGGATCTGCACTCTTCAAATTTACTTGAAGCGTCAGAGATTGGATACGATACGGATACGGAAGGTATTGATTGTTATAGGAACTAATAGGGAGATAAATGAAGACTCTCTGTAGGAAACGGTGACGAAGCTTGTTGAAAAATTATATTTTTCCGTTTCATCTTTCAATCGTTTGATCTCGATCTGATTTCAATTATTTTTGTATGTAAAGAACTTGATTCTTTGCTTCTGCTGCTAAATAATAACTCGAGAATGCATCGTAAAATTTTCTACTTTTTGAATTAATTGCGGCCTTTGTCGTAAAGGGAACTTAATCTACTCCGTTCGTATAAATTTAGCAAACACTATAGGCAGTGTAATGCCGTTTCTGAATTATTTTACAGCTTCTTTGAAAGGTGAATTGGAAAGTTTTGTGTTTGGCATTCTCACGGATATTTTCCAATTGACAGCTTGCAGTTTTCTCAATTTGCCAATAACGTCATTTCTCAGTACTGTTTAATAATATAAAACTGTTACAAAGGGAAATTTTACATATTTTGTTATATGATATCCTCCTTTTAATCAAACATTTTTTTATTTTTTTTCCCCCATAACTTCAGCCTTTTCTGTCGTCAAGCGAAACATCCAGAGATTCAACTGTCCATCAGCGATTCTCCAAATACACGAAAGACGAGAAAGCAGATCGAAGACAGATTGTTTGTCTTGTCCGCGATCCAAGCGCAGTAAACAGAAATCCTCGATGTTGAAATCCTCTAGTAAAAGAGGAATAAGAAGCAGGTAAAATTCAGCCCATTATTCGCCCCTGTCCTTGCTTCTTGGTCTTCGTTTGACGTACAAAGCCGAGCTCGTCGTGCTTTGTGACCGGTCGAGTACGTTCTCGAAAATCCTTTCTCTTTCGTTCTCTCTTGCTTTTCGAGAGATCAGATGGTATCGGTGCAGCTGTTCACCCGCACAGGTGATCGACCGTTTGTTTGCATTCCACAGTTGGACGTGTGTTCATGCTTATCACGCGTCTCCGGCATCACGCGTGTCGCAACATATCGAAAATGTTCAGCCTGCAGGCGCGAGTTTCAATCATCGGCGAGAGTAATTGTTATTATTTTTCTAGTTCTATTCTATTCTAGTTGACAATGCTGAGCTATAAAAATTATCATCAAACCTATTTAATTATTAATATAATTTCAATCTGTGAAAATTATCGAAAAAAGAAAGAAAGACGTCTCTGAATATTTCAAATCGATAATTATGAATAATTTTCGTGATCATTGATCAATTTTTACATTATTCGATGATTGATTTATATTTTTATATCATTTTCTTTTGAACGTTTAACCATCCGACAGAATTACGAATTCTGTTCTCAAAAAAACCTACAAATTTTTCGCGTCGAAGTACTTTCATGCGTAATTAGGAATTTAGCAGCATATCTCGCTAAAAATAACATCTCTTTTCTAATAATTGTACCGTGAGTAGGAAATATACGATCTGAACGAGTCATTTTCATCGCGTGATGAAAAATTTAGTGAAAGTTTCCAATTACATACAATATTTTAGAATATGAAAAGAAAAAAACATATAAAATACTGAATGAAGCATAGTGTGATCATTTCATAATCATCTACATTTAAATTATTCGTGTCCTTTAATTACAACGATTCTCATTACTTTCTACATTCATCGATCAATAGTCACAGCTTGTTCTTATCTTAGTAATCATTTTTCTTATTCGTGTTTAACCAATGGTAATCACGGTTAATCAGTCTGATCTCACGTTAATTAAATTACATTTCGTTCGCGGTCGTCTTCAACGATCGCGAACGTGCGTCTAATTTGCTTGCCTCGCACATCATTAGCCCCGCCGGGACTTTCCACGGGCTTGTCACTCGCGCGGATTCGTTGTTTGCATCGAGAACATCGGGCCGCGGTGCATGTCGATGAATTTTTCAGCCATGTACCGCGCATGATAAAATTTTCATCCGAATAATAATCGACGCACCGATACTGCCGGCGAACATAAAGGGGTGAATCGATAATAAAAGCCTTGCATCATTAATGACGAAATCCCGACGATATTTCCACCCGGGCCGCACTTGCACCCTTGTCACGTGTTGTTGACTATCGTTTCAATTTGCAAGGCAAACAATTCTGCACGTGCGATACCTCAGAGTTTGTTAGACGTCTGTCTTGTTTAAAATGGCTGTTGACGGGACTTGTAATCAAAATTGCTTACGGTTGCTTGTTTTGTTCATTACTCTTTTGTGAGAAAAATTTATCGGAATAATTACGCTAGGATTACCGGCAGGTAATGGAAATCGTAAATCTAGAAATTGCTGTGGGAGTTGAGAGACTAATAACTGTTGCCTATCAGTATCAATAAGATTGAACTCTCGGTCGGAAAAAATTAAACAGTAGTTTGGATTTGTTGTTCGACTTTGAGATTTAATGAGATTCATTTCTTAGTTTTAAAAATACATTATGAATTTTGTACACTGTAATTTTGCTGTGAAATAATTCTCCATAATTCTCCGTGTACTATGAAATTATTCTCGATACATCCTTAGTGAAGTCTCAAATGCATAGAAAGAAGGCTGATTTTCTTTTTCTTTTATAATAAACAGAAAATAAATTATTCAATAGGAACGATATGCGGGATAGGATTAAATTTATAGTTGGTAGATTATAAAGATTAATAGATCTGAAGAAAGATGTTCGCAAAAGCAAACCAAAGTTATATCTTCGCTGTTGCTGTTTTTTTTTTTTTTATTCCACCACGCATTATAGCCGTAATTATCGCAGTGCGCGTGGCATTTCGTAATAGCCAGCAACAATCTTCTATTTTTGCGTCGTCGTCTAATTGTTACGAGCAGGAAACATGCGAACACCTCGCGGCATCCAACCGGTGGCGGGGTCAAAAATAACACCGTGATCAACCACCAACCACGGAGAAGTGAACGAAGCGGAAAACTGGCGAGAAAGTTGCCGTTCTCGCGTGAAAATCGGCGGTGTCTTGATCCGATTGGAACTCATTAAATTTCACTTCGCAAATGGAATTCATTATGAAAGTCAAGTCGGTGGCGAAGCTCCTCGAGATTTTTAAGAATGTAAAACGAAACAAAATTAAAAGATTAAACCACGAGCAAGTGTTCTTTCCGGGTCTATGATAATTCGGATATTTCAATAAATATTATTAAAATATAATGTAATTTTTACAAGTAGTTTCAAATATTTTTTTAATATTCAGTATAATTTTACGATTTTTATTTTATATCTTTTATAAATGATATAAAATACTTAGAAAAGAGAGATAGATTTGAAGCGATGAAAAAGTAAGAAAAAGAAATAGCAGGATAAATTAATATTTTGCACCGTAGTTACCATTAGCCCATTGCGTTAGAAATCTGACAATAAATATCTCTGCGATAATATTTTTTCAAGTACATCAAATGATTAATCGAAAAATTAAAACGAACTTTTTCAGAACTTTTTTTCGACATAGCGCATTAATTTGGAGTCAGGAAAGAGCTACAAAGATCACGAATGTTACAAGTTGTACGAGCATTGTATGTACGACGATAAAAGATTGGAGAATAACCACGAAAATACGGGAACGAGAAACGGCACGAGGGAAAGAGGGCACTGTGGCCTTTATAACGCTATAATTTCGCGACACACAACACCGTAACGGGCTGCGAATACTCAGCCGGAACGAATTAATAATGCTTTGACTTCGACCACAATGCGATGCATACATTACCCGTGGTGGTGCAACGTGTCACGACGAACAAACGGATACGTTTGCGGCCTGATTTATGCTCGTCGTAATTGAACATCACGCTAATTGAATCGGGCCGGTTTTTGCCGGCCGGAAATTCGTCGCGGTGTACCTGCGGGGCGTCGCGGATGAACGATATCCCCGAAACGCGAATAAAACAACCTCCTCGCGAATCCTGAAAAATAACGTCTCTATTCGTATCGTCAACGTGTACGGAAGGAAGATAAATAACGCGTACGAGATTTTCTTAAACCAACGGTGTATCTCTATAGATCTCTGAATCGCTGTCGTGTCTCGTTCTTCGTTCTTTGAATTCGAGGCACAATAACCACCATAAATCAACCGAACCAGGTCCCGAAAAACTTCCTTTCACGCGCGACCGATAATAAATGCTCAAGATTCTCCGAGCAAACGTGAACCCGTATCTTCGTGGATGATTGCTCGAATCAATTAGAATTGAGTTATTCGAATCACGGACGACAGAGCTTCCTAATAGAGTTCCTTTCTTTAGAGTGTCTACTTTGGTGTGGGCGACTGGGT